CTCATGTGCCACAACTACCAAGCCAGCACACTCTAGGGCCCATGTGCTGCAACAAGAGAAGCCACCACAACGAGAAGCCTGCACTCAGCAACCCAGCACAGCCAAATAAAATTTTTTAAAAAAGGAAGTATATGAGAATTCTTATTTCCCCATGTCACTTCAACACTTGATATTGTCATTATTTTTACTATTACCAACATAATAGTTTTGAAATGGGATCCCATGTTGTTCTATTTAAAATCTCTCTGATTACTTATATGATTGTGCATCTCTTTGCATGTTCCTCACTTGGAATGGATTGTTCATATATCTTCTCAATATCTTCCATTTGTTCCTTTATTACTGCTTTCCTCCACCCTACTCTGTGCCCAGGAAGCTGACCATTATGGACTGCATAACTATCTCCCTTTCCTTCTGGATTCTTGTTGAGTTTGGCCACTGCGAAGGCTCCATCTCTACCAGACTAAAAGATGGCTGTGGCTGAGTTCTTCTACCAAAGGCCACAAATTCTGTCCAGGTTACTGTGTTCCAGTAACCATTCCCTGCCATTACTACCCCTTCTTCCCTGGTGGCTCAGATAGTAAAGAATCTGCCTGCAATGCAGGGGACCCAGGTTCCATCCCTGGGTCAGAAAGATCCCCTGGAGAAGGAAATGGCAACCCACTCCAGTATTGTTGCCTGAAGAATTCCATGGAGAGAGGAGCCTGATGAGCTTGCTACAGTCCATGGGATCACAAAGAGTTGGACAGGACTGAGTGACTAACACTACTCCTTCATGCTTTGGGGGGAGGTAACAGTTCCCCACTATTGCTAGCCTCAGGGTATTTCAAAATCTCTTGTTGGTGTCAGTAACAGTTAACTATTGCTACAATAATGCTGTATAAGATACCTCCCCAAAAGGACAGTCACCTGTTCTCCTTGCTCATGTGCTATGGGTTATTTGGGGCTATTCTGCTTCAAGATGCAGTTTGGATGGGCTTGGCTCTAGGATGCAAACTGTGTTCAGATCTGCTCCATGTGAATTACTATGCAGCTCAAACACTGGGATCAGCAGCTTCCTGGGGCAAGCTCTTCTCAAGACAATCATAGGAGTGCAAGAAGACTAACAAAACCACACAAGTATATTGAAATCCTCTAGGCACTTCATGTCTGCTCATATCTCACTGATGAAAGCAAGTGCATGCTGTTTATAATAGCCAGGACATGGAAGCAACCTAGATGCCCATCAGCAGACGAATGGATGAAGAAGCTGTGGTACATATACACCATGGAATATTACTCAGCCATTAAAAAGAATTCATTTGAATCAGTTCTAATGAGATGGATGAAACTGGAGCCCATTATACAGAGCGAAGTAAGCCAGAAAGATAAAGACCATTACAGTATACTAACACATATATATGGAATTTAGAAAGATGGTAACGATAACCCTATATGCAAAACATAAAGACTCAGATGTATAGAACAGACTTGTGGACTCTGGGAGAAGGCGAGGGTGGGATGTTTCAAGAGAACAGCATCGAAACATGTATATTATCTAGGGTGAAACAGATCACCAGCCCAGGTTGGGTGCATGAGACAAGTGCTCGGGCCTGGTGCACTGGGAAGACCCAGAGGGATCGGGTGGAGAGGGAGGTGGGAGGGGGGACCGGGATGGGGAATACATGTAAATCCATGGCAAATTCATTTCAATGTATGACAAAAACCACTGCAATGATGTAAAGTAATTAGCCTCCAACTAATAAAAATAAATGGAAAAAAAAAAAAAGAAAGAAAGCAAGTGCATGGCCAAGACTAAATTCAGAGGAACAGGTGTGTATACTCCATCCCAAAGGTGGTGGCAGGGGCAGGGTAGTGAGGAGTGAGTATCTGTACAAAATTTATCCAATGTATTACAATCTCTTTTAACCACACTGAAACCCTTTTACACAGTCTCTTCATTTAATTTTCCCTCACTGCTATATTTGTGTGTAACATCTATTTCTTGTCAGGACCCCGATTAAGATTATATCACTCTCACAAGTTTCTATTGATTTTCCAGTTTTCAGGGATACATATTAACCCCTCCCAAAGCCTCCTAGATGATTCCTTCCTGACACCACCTTGGCCAAAATCTGCTCCAGATCCATTTCCCATTTTAGTGCAGCTTTTTTCCTTTCCTTTTGTGTAGGAGTCCTCCACAAAAGTCCCTACTCCATCTATGGCATCAACCCTTTCCCACTTCTTGTGATTCATACTAACCACCTAGTTCTTCATGTCTACATAACATGTGTGGATGTGTGTATTCATATGTAAGCCCTTGGGGGGTTAATGTATATTTAACAAAAAAGAGGGTTACAATAGGCAATTTTCTACACATTTTATCTAGAAACCTCGCAACAGTCTCTGGCATAAGCAGCTGGCATAAATATATCTTATTCCTTTTAAGTGCTGAATTATGTTCCATCATACTGATCCCATTCCTTTCTTGATGAATGAAGTGGATGATGTAATGCACTGCTCAGATCCCACTTTTATGATTGAGGCACTCATGCCCCCAGATGCTAGGAATATAGCTGAATCACCCTTTAGGAATTGCTATGGGTTGAAGGGAGCTGCCTTGCCCAGGGGTACACTACTTCCTCCAGGTAAGACCACATCCAATGACCGGTCAGTGTGGAGGCACAAATACCCAGCCTCATCTTCTCCATTCATAAATTTTCTGAATGGCCATCCTAGTTTAGATATCCCTGTAGGATAAGCTGAGGCCTCTATTGCAACTGTGCATGCTCAGTCGTGTCCCACTCTTTGAGACCCCATGGACTATAGCCCACCAGGCTCCTCTGTGCATGAGATTTTCGGGGCAAAAATACTAGAGTGAATTGCCATGCTCTCCTCCAGGGGATCTTCATGACCCAGGGGTCAAATTTGTGTCTCCTGCATTGCTGGCAGATTCTTTACCACTGTGTCACTCGGGAAACCCTTGGAACTGTATAGCTCTTCAAATTCTCCCTTTATGCAAACCTTCGTTCTCTTACAAGTGCTTTTGAGATGTTTCTGGGGAACTTACAAGTATAATACTTAGTTGGCCAAAAAGTTCATTTGGGTTTTTCTGTAACATCTTAGGGAAACTCAAACCTTTTGGCCTATCTAATATTTGGTTCTAGAAGAGGTCCTAAGAAGGAGATTATGAAATAGGATTTTGGAACACAAGTACCTGCGAGCTGGCTAGAAATGGGGACTATATCACTGGTGGTAAGTGATGTGCTGATAACCCTTGTGATATGGTCATGGTGCAATGATCAAAAATTTCGCTAGTGGTAAACTGATATTGGACACTAATGGAAATAGATTTCCTGGAAGGTGCAATATCTCCGGAGTTTGAGTGGTCCAGAATAAGTGGTAATTATTAATATAAAGACTGTGAAAATAGACGATTGTACACAAGGCTATTGATGAACTGCAGAAAGACAACAAAAGGTGAAGGGTGATTAAACAGCAATTTAAGACAAAGTCGAAAGTCTTAGATGCAGAAGGAAGAGAAGTCAAAGGATTGGCCTGTGAACTTTAGTCTTTTTGTCCTGAAATCATGGCCCATTTTTGCTTTCTACCACATATTAAGCCAACGCATGCATGAACTAAGCTCAGTCTTTTCCTTAACTCTTTCATGTATTCTGGAAAAATAACTCAGAATAAAAATTAGGGAGAGATGATTCTATTGTCTTTTAATATCACACGAGTGTTGCCCTATAAGCCCATCTGCAATCATTGACTATTAGGAAATTTAAGTTGCCCAGCCATAGATGAAGTAGCAGAGGCTTTTCTCAGCATGATTTAATAGGTTAGCATGAAGAGAAACAGTAAAGAGTAACGTTTTTTGCTTTTCTTCCCATTGGAAAATACATAATTTTATTTTCCTGCATGATCTCAACCAGTTTTCCACCTACATTTAACAAGAGCAGCTCTGCACTCCCTTCTCCTCCGCTTAACAATCAAAGCTCTATGAATGTAAATACTTTTTCTGAACCAGCTCTCATTCTGCTAGCTTCCTCAGTAATAGATTAAATAAAACTTTGACGGATGTTCACCAACAAATGTGTGGGATTCATAATTTGTAAAAATTAGCTATTTTGCTTTCAAAAGCAACTTTTTGGAAAAGAGAAAGTATTTCCCCAAAGTCTCCTAGCTGATTTCTTCCTGATATCTCCTTGGCCAAAATCGAATCCAGATCTATTTCCCAAGGAAGGGGCATGGAACTGATGGGCTTGGAAGAGTCAGCATTCAGGACTGTATGATCACCAGTGGGGTCTCCATCACCAGGACCACCACAAGGTTATCTTTTTTGCTGGATAATACAAGACACCACATCAGCCACAGAATGGCAGAGGACATACCTTCTGAGCAAGTCATGGACCCCACTTACTGGACTGGGGAGGTCGCAGTGCCATATTCATTGAGACTCGATTTATTTTTGAACAGCATCTGACATTTATTGAAAATAAGGAAAAAACGTTTGTCCTGGTAGTGTAGAAGAGCTGGGCAGAGTGCAGGGGTTACTGTGCTGAACAAAAGGCACACGTCAGAGAGACAGCTGCACATTCAAAAGAGAACTGGATTCTGGGTGAAATCAACAGGTTCACAGGAGAAAATGAGCGACTCGGTTTGGTTGCCAGGGACCCCTGAGACCTGGCAGTCACACCCAGCAGGAACAGAAGATGTCTCTGGGAGTAGGGAGGGCTTCGGTTCCACAGGTGAAAGGCTGGCCGGCCCCTCCAGGATGGTGGCGAGCTGTTGGAATCCTTGTTTGCCCAAAGGCTGTGGCCAGCTCAATCACCTCCCGGGTGAGTCCAGATCGTCAAAGGCTGCAGGCTGTGGATGGAATGCGGTGAACAGTGATGGCCGCCACAGCGCAGGTCTCTGGCCACCCCGAGGCGGGCCTGGGAGTCTGGCAGGAGGTGGGTGGTTGGCAGTGGCCGGGTGTGGGTGGTCTGCCCCGTGGGTAACAGGAACCCGGCTTGCAGTTAGAGTGCAGAACCGAGTCCAAGTGTGCAGGGGAGAGGCCTGGCTGGCCCGAGGGCGGCCGCAACAGCTGGAACCTGGAGAGCTATTCCTGGAACAAAGGCAAGCACTACGCGGGAAGGGACACGAGCACGGGGGAGATCGCGGCCACCCGAAGGTGAGGGGGGACACGGTGGAAGGACGCCTGTGGCGATCTGGGAGGCGGCGACTGGCGCGGCGGACCCTCCCCCGAGCACCCGCCCCCAGACCCGAGGCGCTCCAGGCAGGCCTAGAAGTCCTCGTCCTCCACCCAGCCAAACACCCGCTTCATCTCGGCCAGGAAGCCCCGGTAATCGTTGAGGAGGGGGCTCTGCTTCCTGATGTAGGGGATCACCCACTGCAGGGCTGGCCCAGTCATGCGGGTGATGAGGAATGTCACCTTCAGGGCATCGTTGGTGAACAGGTTCTCGTCCACTAGCATGTAGGCGCCCGTCTGCACGATAAACTCCGGGAGCCGGTCGGTGTCGCCATCAAACGTCTCGGGGAAGGGGATCGGGTTCCTCCACCGACGTGTCTGGGGCCGAATGGGCAGGGCCAGGAGGGCCTTGATCAGCTGCACTCGGCCATCCATCGCGTCTTGCTTGCTTCTCCGAGCTCCACTGGACTCAGCAATGGGCGGTGAAGAGGCGTGGCGGGAAGTGCGTGTGTGCGGAGGTGGGCCCGGTCCCAGGTGGGCGGGGCCACGGGCGGTAACTGGCGGGGCTGGGCTCCGCCCACTGGACCTGGTGGTTGCTAGTGCGCAGGCGTGACGCTCGGGCTGAGTTGGGCGGGGCGGGAATAAGGGAAGGAGTCTGGGCTAACGCCCGCCCGAGGAAGCGGGGTCCGAGTCTGAGGGGCGGGTCCGAGGTTTCCTGACGCAGAATGCAGTAGTTTTAAGTAGTGTGGGCTCTGCCCACGAGACAAATGATCTGAAGTGCGCAGGCGCAACAGTGGTGGTGAGGGGCAGCCGCCCTAGGTTTGGAGATGATCAGGGCTCCGCCCCGCGAAGGGGAAATGGGCGTGGCTAACGCGCCCTTTCCACAGTTTATTGTGATCCACACAGTCAAAGGCTTTGGCATAGTCAATAAGGCAGAAATAGATGTTTTTCTGGAACTTTTGCTTTTTTAATGATCCGGCAGATATTGGCTATTTGATCTCTGGTTCCTCTGCCTTTTCTAAAACCAGCTTGAGCATCTGGAAGTTCTTGGTTCACGTATTGCTGAAGCCTGGCTTGGAGAATTTTGAGCATCACTTTACAAGCATGTGAGATGAGTGCAATTGTGCAGTAGTTTGAGCATTCTTTGGCATTGCCTTTCTTTGGGATTGGAATGAAAACTGACCTTTTCCAGTCCTGTGGCCATTGCTGAGTTTTCCAAATTTGCTGGCATATTGAGTGCAGCACTTTCACAGCATCATCTTTCAGGATTTGAAATAGCTCAACTGGAATTCCATCACCTCCAGTAGCTTTGTTTGTAGTGATGCTTCCTAAGGCCCACTTGACTTCACATTCCAGGATGTGTGGCTCTAGGTGAGTGTGAGTGATCACACCATCGTGATTGTCTGTGGAACAAACTGGGAAAATCTGAAAGAGATGGGAATACCAGACCACCTGACCTGCCTTTTGAGAAACCTGTATGCAGGTCAGGAAGATTAGAACTGGACATGGGACAACAGACTGGTTCCAAATAGTAAAAGGAATACGTCAAGGCTGTATACTGTCCCCCTGCTTATTTAACTTACATGCAGAGCACATCATGAGAAATGCTGGGCTGGAAGAAGCACAAGCTGGAATCAAGATTGCTGGGAGAAATATCAATAATCTCAGATATGCAGATGACACCACCCTTATGGCAGAGAGTGAAGAGGAACTAAAGAGTCTCTTGATGAAAGTGAAAGAGGAGAGTCAAAAAGTTGGCTTAAAGGTCAACATTCAGAAAACTAAGATCATGGCATCTGGTCCCATCACTTCATGGCAAATAGATGGGGAGACAGTGGAAACAGTGGCAGACTTTATTCTTCTGGGCTCCAGAATCACTGCAGATGGTAATTGCAGCCATGAAATTAAAAGACGCTTACTCCTTGGAAGGAAAATTATGACCAATATAGACAGCATATTAAAAAGCAGCGACATTACTTTGTCAACAAAGGTCCGTCTAGTCAAGGCTATGGTTTTTCCAGTGGTCATGTATGGATGTGAGAATTGGACTATAAAGAAAGCTGAGTGCCAAAGAATTGGTGCTTTTGAACTGTGGTGTTGGAGAAGACTCTTGAGAGTCCCTTGGACTGCAAGGAGATCCAACCAGTCCATCCTAAAGGAGATCAGTACTGGGTGTTCATTGGAAGGACTGATGTTGAAGCTGAAACTCCAATACTTTGGCCACCTGATGCGAAGAGCTGACTCATTTGAGAAGACCCTGATGCTGGGAAAGATTGAGGGCAGGAGGAGAAGGGGACGACAGAGGATGAAATGATTGGATGGTATCACCAACTCGATGGACATGGGTTTGGGTGGACACCGGGAGTTGGTGATGGACGGGGAGGCCTGGCCTGGTGCAGTTCATGGGGTTGCAAAGAGTTGGACACGACTGAGCGACTGAAAGCGCCCTTGAGGAGGCGGGGCCGTAATCAAAGGGGCGGGGCCAAGGTTTCCAAGGCGGGCCCCTGGCTAAGAACCGGAATCAGGGGAGGAGCCCTAGACTTTGTTTTTTGTAAAGTTCATGGGGTTCTCCTGGCAAGTATACTGGGGTAGTTTGTCATTTCCTCATCCAGTGGATCACGTTTGGTGGCTCAGGTGGTAAAAAATCTGCCTGCAATGCTGGAGACACAGGTTCGATCCCTGGGTTGAGAAGATCCCCTGGAGAAGGAAATGGCAACCCACTCCAGTATTCTTGCCTGGAGAATTCCATGGACAGAAGAGCATGGCAGGCTACAGTCCATGGTGTTGCAAAGAGTTGGACACGACTGGGCGACTGAACAACAACAGCAACCTAGACTTTGTGCTGTAGGGCCCACAGCACGTGAAAAAGAGCACAGTTCCTCTTCTTGGAGTTGAACAGTCTTTCCTTTTCAACCCATCTTGTCCACTCACTCCAGTATTCTTGCCTGGAGAATCCTATGGACTGAGGAGCCTGGCATGCTACAGTCCATAGGGTTGCAAAGAGTCAGACACAACTGAAGCAACTTAGCTAGCTAGCTTGCAAGCCCCTCTGCCCTAAGCGTATCCTTTGCACACCTTTGGACATGGACACCACTTGAGTGCAGTTCTTTGAATGCATTTTCTTACTTATCCATGCATCTCTCAGCTGGAGAAGTATCACACCGCTGGTTGTAGGTGTGGTTGCTTTTCACCACACCAAACATTAGTCAACATAGTTCAAAGTAGCATATTCAAGGAGTAATGTACCATGACCAGTCAATGTGAAGAGGGTCAAATGATACAAAATCTCTTAATCTGGTATACTAAAAGACCAAAGAAGTTTATCAGTATAGAAACCAAAAGACAAAAGAGGTGTTTGATGCTTTCCCAATATGATGGTATACATTTCCATACATGAGAATAAGGGGAAAATGTAACTAAGACATTAACCAATTGAAAGAGGGAAAACTAACCATTACAGGTTATATCTGAATTCATTTGTATAGCTGAGTACAAAATTAATATATATTCCATACACACTTTCATATAATTCAGTAAATAATCAATTAAAATAGATACTACTGTTAATGACTCAATTCAGGAAAGCAATTCAAAAGAAATAGTGCCTAGGAATATACTTGAAATATCTTAAAAGCCATTTAAAGAACATTTTGAAATGTGAAAGGGGGGATATAAAAGAATACTCAAGCAAACACAAATGCAAACTCAGGTCTGAAATAGGATGGCACAACATCTTAAAGATGCTAATTTTTCCTGTGTGAGGAGATAGAGGAGGTGTGGACTGTGTGCTGCCTCATACCAACAAGGTGACAGCAAATTTGTCTCCACTTGCTTGAGTTGCAACAATGCTTGGTGATCTCATGATCTTCAAGTGTAAAATCTCCTGTGGACCAGGCTATTCCAGAATTATCCACAAGTAAAAAAAATTCAAATTATATGAAACACTAGTTTTGTGACATTGGACATCAGGCAGCCACAGTAATATTCCTAAGTGTGAAAAAATACTTAAAGTGAACCCTAGTATTGCCTCAGTTTACAGTCAGGAGCAAACATCCAACTAGCCTGTTTGTTTATGAGTGTGCATTGGTTTGTTTGTTTATTCTTGCTGATCCCAAATGGAAAGCAGATGTGAAAAGTCCTCCAAGACTCCCAAAGTTTTCTCTTGATTTTTGTCCTGTAGATATTAACTTTCTATTGAGGATGTTTAACATCCCCTTCCCATTATGTCTCTCTCCCCAAACCTGGGCTCTCTCCATCCAAAGTGGGCACTTTCTTTTTGCCACGAGTCCCCCTGGGAGAGTTAGAGTGGGAGGGTGAACCAGCCCCAAGCTCTCCCTGGTCTGTGGATGGTGACAGCTCAGAGAACCTCCAATAGCTGAGGGAAGACAACACCCATTTGGCTGAGCAGGAGTGGATCCAGTCATCCAAGCCACATCTGAATGATGACAAAGATTCATTCCTGGATTCCCATCACATGCTTGGGAAGACCATCTGTTGCCACCTGTGGCTGTCCTAGGCTGAAATGGAGTCTAGTTGATAACAATACCCCAAATGGCACTGACCATCTGCTCATCGAACTCATTTCCTTAAAAGCTGCTCACCACCCAAAACAGCATTTCTGAGAATCTCTAGAGAGAGGTATACACACTGAAATGGAGCAGGACCCTATAGTCCTTTCCCCCAACTCCATGTCTTCCACCTACCTTTTGTCTTTAGAAAAACTTTAGTCAAAGAATAAATTTAATCAGAGAAGTGAAAAAATGTAAGAGCAAAGGAAAGCAGTCTAAAAGGACATAATAATATTAATTTAGTCAAAAGTCAAGGACCTTTATTTCCTCCTCAAGGATTATAGAGAATATTCTGAGCCGTATCCTTTGCGCTGTCTTGTAGATATACTGAAACCCCAACCAGGTGGAAGAAGTTAAGTACACAATGACAAAACTGCTGCTATGACATAAGCTGCTACAATTCTGAGAACTGGTCTCA